ATCAGCAGTCTGGGGAAAAAAATCATAGAAGAAAATGTTGGCTCATTTTATAAAGATTAATGGTGTCTACTGTACTTTCACACACCCTCCTACCTTGTTGGCTTTATCCATCAGAGCCTGGGGGGATCAACTACTGTCTCCGGAGTTCTGCCTCCTACCAAAGTTTGATCACGGGCGCTAAGGGGTTTAAAACCCATTCGCATTACAGCAGTTGCAAGCTGTGGTTTTCTGTGTTGGTGAGGTGACCAGCAGCAGCACCCTCCCCTCGGCATGGGAGACAGGTTGGTGTAGCATCTCTGTAACCACCCTGCCGGCTGCCGGTAGCTGCTATCAGCTCAGCCATCGAGCCGTCAACTGACATCTGAGCTCTCAGATCCCCTGAAAAGTGACAGGATGAGAGAGACTCATTTGGCAATACTTTGCTTTTGCTGTTTGGCCTGGAGAAAGATACTCAAAGTAGTAAGATTGTTTAGCAACAGCTGGCAAGCACCCGGGTGTGAGCCTGATTTTCAGACATGACAGGCACTTACAGGAATGTTGCCAGATACAGCTGTTTAAAAGCCTTAATAAACAGCAAGTCAATACTAATCTTTGCCAAATTAATCTTTTCCTTGACAGCCCATCAGAGCAATTATGCTCAGACTCGTTGTAAACACACAATTGTCAGAGGGTAAGGATCTTCTCCGCAGTATACTGTGGATTTTTGCACACAGCTTGTTTTCCAAATGGGAAGGTTCCCTTTTCTTTTCCTCTTCCTCTCTTTCTTTTTTTTTCTCTCCTATTTTATTTTCTAGCCAATTACATGTTTGCCAGCTTGGTATTAGCCTGAACAAAATTTCTTTGTAAAGTGTCTATCGCAGCAAGCCCTTAATAGAATGTGAACTGATGACAATCGCAGGATCCATGCAGATGCACATTTGCTAGTGGGTTTCTCTAATTAGGCAGTAACTGTGACAGATTCTGAAATGTTACAAGTCATTGTTCTCACTTGTCCTCTTGTCGGTGGAATAAGAACTACATTTGAGTTGTGATTTAATGTGCTGCTGCGTAATAATAAAACACATGACTCTGCAAAGGAAAGCAAATGCTGTCTGTGAGACCTGACACAAAGCACCTTGTGTTTTCTGAGGTGCTCAGCACCTCCTGCAGCACTGCCAGCACTCTGCTATACTCACTAAATAATATTTTATTTAAATGCAAAAGGACTTGAAGACACCAGATAAATAATTAACAGGGCAATGGTTGTATATGTATGTATGTATGTATGTATCTATCTATCTATCTATCT